AGGAGCTCCAAGTTTGCTGAGCCCTTACCACCCCCCACCCCAGCCTGTCACAGCACTGACGTCACACTCTGCCGAGGAGGAAGTGAGAGATTCAGAGCCCATGGGGCAGAAGGGAGTTTTATTTGCTGAGAGGCAACCGGTCCAAGTATTTGCTACATTCTTGCTTCACTTAATTAAGCTGTTGGTGTTGATGTGTGCGTGGGTCAGGTCCTTCCCTCCCATCCTTCTGGCCTCCCGTGCTGAAATTGAACCCAGGGCCTCACCAGTTCAAGGCAGGTGCCCTTCTGCCTGTCACACCCTAGCCATCTCGCTCTCCTGATTTCCTTGGAATGAGTACCTTTCCCCTGTCCTTGTTTTGAATATAATAAATATGCAAAGTGGAGGTGTTTTAATTAAATGAAAGAAAAAAATAATTTAAAGGAGCTGTTTTAAGCGGACATGTTGGGACAACTCTATGATCTCAGCACAGCAAAAGCAGAGGCAGGAGGATTGCTCCAGTTTGTCGCACACAGTGAGGACCAAGCCAGTCTAGGCTACAGAGGGAAACCATATCTCAAGATTTTTTTTTGTATTGTTTCAAGACAGGGTTTCTCTGTGTAGCCCTGGCTGTCCTGGAACTCAGTCTGTAGACCAGGCTGGCCTCGAACTCACAGATATCCACCTGCCTTTCCCTCTCAAGTGCTGGGATTAAAAGCATACGACACCACCACCCTGCTAAGAAATATATTATTTTTAAGAAGCTGGTGCAAAATTATTTTGGGGAGGCGGTTGAGACAGGGTTTCTCTGTGTAGCCTTGGCCGTCTTTGATTTGTAGCCCAGGCTGGCCTTGAACTCACAGAGATCCACCTGCCTCTGCCTCCGAGTGCTGGAATTAAAGGCATGCACCACCATGCCCGGCGCAAATGATTTTTATTTGTGCTGGAGAAATGGCTAAGCTGTTAAGAGCTCTTGCTGTTCTTCAGAGGACCCAGGTTCTATCCTGAGTACCCATGTAATGGCTTGCAACTGTCTGTAACTCCAGTTCCAGGGAACCCAATGCCCTCTTCTGACTTCTGAGGGCACCAGGCACATATGTGGTGCATGTACATAGATGCAGGCAAGACTCGAATACATGTAAATATTTTTAAGTTAAAACATATTTTTGAGAAGGTTTTGTGTAGCCCAGGCTGGTGTTGAATTCTCTATGTAGCCGAGGCTGCCCTCGAGCTCCTGATCTTCCCTCCTGTGCTGCAGAGGCGCTGGGACTGCAGGGTGAACCTCTGTGCCCAGTGTACCTATGTGCCGACGGTGTGCTTGGGGGGGCAAGGACAGCTCAAGAGCTGATTCCCTTTTCTCCCTGTGAGTGCTGGGAACCAACTCAAGCCATCAGGCTTGGCAGCAGTTAACTTACCGCTGAGCCATCCTTCATCCAAGCGGATTTTTAAAAATGAGTTTGTAGGGGGTGGAGCGATGACTCAGAGGGTAAGAGCACTGGCCACTCTTCCAAAAGACCCGGGTTCAATTCCCAGCACCCTCATGGCAGTGCACAACTGTCTGTAACTCCAGTTCTGGGGGTCTGGCATCTTCACACAGATAGACATGCGGGCAAAACCCCAATGTACATAAAAAATTAAAAAAAAAAAATGAGGCCAGACAGTGATGGCACACACCTTTAATCCCAGCACTCAGGAAGCAGAGGCAGGAGGATCTCTGTGAGTTTACAAAGTAAATTCCAGGACAGCCAGAGCTACACAGAGAGAAATCCTGTCTCAAAAACCAAAAATAAAAAAAAAAAAAAAAAAAAAGCAAAGCTGAGCATTGTGGCACATCCTGTAATCCCAGCTCTTAGGAGGCTGAGGCAGGAGGATTGCCTTGAGTACAAGGCAAACCCCATGGGCAAGTTGTGGGGTAAGGTTGTAACCAGGAGTGGTGACATACTACATCCGTCGTTAAGTGTCTCCCCAGCCTGGGCGGCTGAGGCCAGCCTAGCAGTGAGACTCTCTCTCTCTGAGAAAAGGAAACAGGAGCCTGGAAGATCTACCGCAGTTTATTTTGTTGTTGTTGTTTTGGTTTTTAGAGTTTGAGACAGGCTTTCACGCTATAACACAGGCTGACCTCAAGCTTGTTGTGATGTAGCTCAGGCTGGCCATGAACTTGAGAGCCTCTGTCTTCTGCCGTAGGCTCCTGAGCCCCGGGATGACAGATGTGTAGGCCAGGCCTGGCTGTGTCAGAATTTCACTGGCCAGTTAATGTTTAGTAGGTAGTGACCTTGGAGATGTGTCTGAGAGGCCCCCTAGTGTTTTCTTCATGGCATGGCAGTCACCCTTGCAGTCCTTGTGGTCTGGCTAAGCTAACACTCGACCTGATCTCGATGTAGCATGTACGTTGCCTGGTGTCATCCTTTGCCAGGTCCGCTGTGGTCAGACGTGTTCCAGCGGTTCTCTAACTGTCTTGTGTTTGTTTTCTCCGAGCAGAAGAAGCTGACTACAGTGCCTTTGGTACGGACACCCTAATCAGGAAGAAGAACGTGCTGAGCAACGTGCTGCGTCCTGACAACCATAGGAAGAAGCCCCACATCGTCATCAGCATGCCCCAGGACTTCCGCCCGGTGTCATCCATCATAGATGTGGACATCCTCCCGGAGACCCACCGAAGGGTCCGTCTGTACAAGTATGGCACGGAGAAGCCCCTGGGCTTCTACATCCGCGACGGCTCCAGTGTCCGGGTGACACCACACGGCTTAGAGAAAGTCCCCGGGATCTTCATATCGAGGCTGGTTCCCGGGGGTCTGGCCCAGAGCACGGGATTGCTAGCTGTCAACGACGAAGTGTTAGAAGTCAATGGTATAGAGGTGTCGGGGAAGAGCCTGGACCAAGTGACTGACATGATGATAGCCAACAGCCGCAACCTCATCATCACTGTGCGGCCAGCTAACCAGAGGAACAACGTGGTGAGGAACAGTCGGACTTCCGGCAGCTCCGGCCAGTCCACCGACAACAGCCTCCTGGGCTACCCGCAGCAGGCGGAAGCCAGCTTTGAGCCAGAGGACCAGGACAGTGACGAGGACGACATCATCATTGAAGACAGTGGAGAGCCGCAGCAGATCCCGAAGGCTGCCCCCGATGCCCAGAGCCTGGAGTCCCTGACGCAGATAGAGCTCAGCTTTGAGTCGGGGCAGAATGGGTTCTCCCCTCCACAGGACCCAGTGCCTGTGCCCAGCAGCCTGGACACAGAGTTTGAACCCCGTGCTCCGGACCAGAGACTCTTAGAGGAAGACGGAACGATCATAACGTTGTGAACCGCCACGCGTGTTTGCCAAGTGCTATAAAGGTGGCACAAGAATGACACAGGGGACCTCCGGGCCTTGATGTCCCACGGGCAAGCCTAGAGTGTGGCTGGATGGGGTGACTGCAGACAGACTGCAGTGTGCATGTGTGAGGCCTTTGCTGCAGGGGAGTTGGATGCTCTTCCTCCCTGTCTCCACCGGCTCTGCAGAGCCGGTGTCCTGAGGTCTGGGGCCTCCTTCCTTGGTCCGCTGAACCTCACTTCTTGGATTCCCAACATGGATGGATTCTGACTTTTAAAAATGTTCCTCAGTTAATCGTGACAGATTATTTTTTCATGTGCAGTTTTGTTCTGTTTCCCTGTTTTCTAAGACTTTAACTGGCTGGCCATGTTTAGGGGTGCTTCCCACTACCCAGCCCTGGAGCACCCCCTGTTGTCTCCATCCTGTAGCTTCACAGTTGCAGGGTGCCTCGGTCCTACTGACTGCCCCTTCTCTGTTAACCTCCTCACCCCAGTCCACTGCAAACTGTGTCTGTGTGTGTCTGTGTGTGTGTGCGTGTGTCTGTGTGTGTCTGTGTGTGTGCAGGGAGCCTCGGTCCTACTGACTGCTCCTTAACTGTTAACCTCCTCACCCCCAGTCCACTGGAAATCATTCCTGTGTATGTGCATGCGTGTGTGTGCACGTGTGTGTGCGTGTGCGCGCGCGTGTGTGTGTGTGTGTGTGTGTGTGTGTGTGCAGGGTGCCTCGGTCCTACTGACTGCCCCTTCACTGTTAACCTTCTTACCCCCAGTCCATTGGAAATTGTTCCTGTGTGTGTGTTACAGTTAGTGTGCTCCACACTCTTCCAGTATACCAGACAGTGTGGATCATGTTGAATAAAAAGGACCCAG